ATATATATATATATTGAAAGATAGTTAATAATAAATTTCAAATTTTATTTATATTATATTAACAGGATTTTATATCGCAACAATTTTATGAATTTACATTTATTTTTATGTTTAGCGCGTTTTATGTTTAGCAAAGAGTATCTAATTGGCGTATTATTAACTATTCTCAGGGACATTAGTAATATCACTTCACACGAAAAGTATTATTGATTTCTCATTAAATACGGCGCGATGTATTGCGCGTTACTTTTTCAATGTCATTATTGTTACTTATCGAGATATCAGCTTTGCAATGCAAATACCGAAATATCAAATACACAACGAAGCAGAAAGTGACAGAATAATACATCTTTTCTCTCAAGCTTCATTTTGCATATCGCCTCGAACGTTCATAAGTATTTCTCAAGTGTGAATTATGAGTAAGGAGCTTAAAACACGAAAGGCATTAACTCTCTGCGTGATTCAATAACATCATTTTTTGCAAATACATTTGCGTCTTATGTTAATATCGTCAACGAATATAAAATAAATATTCATAAGTTAAGTTTCATAAAGTCGTCAGTATAACGTAAAAGAGAATGTTGCTATAATAAGGAATCTTTAAAATTAAATACACAGATTGTTCTAGAAAGAAGAAGAAGTTTATGATTTTATCTCAGTATTACGTAGAGTTTGTTTGTTTTTGAATCAGGATTTCGATGGATGCAGAATTTTTTAGGATAATAGGTTATTCTAATTTTTCATTTTTATTTTTTATATACGAGCATCCATATTTCAAAACATGATGCAAGTAGACATGTCTCGAAATAAAATGTAACGATTATGTCGAGCTTAAAGATTACGTATTTATCAAATAAAAAAACACGGCAAGTTAGAATATCGCATAATTTATGCAGATCTAATGTCGTATTTAAGGAATATCCTTTTTTATTACAGAACAATGAAAATGATATAAAAGGACTGAATGGGCAAAATGCAAATGCGGGTAATGCAATTCTTCCTCTATTCGAACTGATTACTTTGACCAGTCTGATTAAATCTAACAAGAATTTGAAAGCATTCATTCATTCAAATTTTCATTCAAATTTTCTAGGGGTGTCTTCAAATGCCAATTTAAGATTCGAGGAACAATTGCGATCATTTTACACGCCATTAAATCAGTACGATTTTGTTGGAACGGATGCTAAGAATCATAGAGAGATTTCTGACAACTTCGAGCAAAAAACGCGAAATCGCGGAGACATTAATGAAGTTCCTAAAGAAAAAGTAAGATTCTCTTATAGTGATATGAAATATTAAATTATTTTTGTCGCATAATTTATTAAAATTACACTACAAAATATTATTACAAATACTTATTAGGTGTACAACTTTGCTTCCGCCGTTTTTTTTCCGAAATTCGAGACTTTATTGTAAAAAACTGGTTATACATTTATGATTCAAAGTATTGTCCATCGCTGGTCACTACTTTCTCCCATCTTTCGGGTAGCGTAAGAATCCCGCGTCGAAAAAACTGGTCATCTTTTGAGGCTATCCACGAATCGATCCAATTTTTTACTTCTTCATAAGACCGGAAGTGCTGGTCAGCCAGGCCGTGTGCCATTGATCGAAACAAGTGATAGTCAGAGGCAGCAACGTCTGGAGAATACGGCGGGTAGGGTAGGACTTCCCATTTCAACGTTTCCAAGTATGTCTTGACCACTTTCGCAACATGGAGTCGAGCATTGTCATGCTGCAAAATCACTTTATCGTGCCTCTCGTTGTATTGCGACCGTTTGTCTTTCAATGCTCGGCTCAAACGCATCAATTGCATTCGATACCGATCGCCTGTGATTGTTTCAGTCGGTTTTAACAGTTCATAATACACTACGCCGAGCTGGTCCCACCAAATACAGAGCATAATCTTGGAGCCGTGAATATTCGGTTTGGCCGTTGACGTGGAAGCATGGCCGGGAACTCCCCATGATTTTCTGCGCTTGGGGTTATCGTAATGATTTTTCGTCCCCAGTCACAATGCGATGCAGAAATCCCTTCCGTCTTTGCCTTTCAAGCAGCTGTTCACAAGCAAACAAACGCCGTTCAACATCTCTCGGCTTCAATTCGTACGGCACCCAATTTCCTTGCTTCTGAATCATTCCCATGGCTTTGAGGCGTTTTGAAATGGCTTGTTGAGTCACTCCCAATGATCGTGCCAATTCTTCTTGACACGAGTCTTGCTCAAGTAATGCCTCCAATTCTGCATCTTCGAAAACCTTCTCTCTTCCACCGCTATGCCGGTCTTCAACGTCAAAATCACCGTTCTTGAAGCGTTGAAACCACTCACGACACTAATAGCGGCCTCACCATAAGTATTTGAGAGCAATAGCGATGAGCCTCAGCCGTAGATTTCTTCATATTGAAGCAAAAAATTAAAATTACCTCCCGCAAATGACGAGAATTTGGCTCGTAAACTGACATTTTCAATCGAGAATAACTTTATGATGCAGACACAAATCGACTAATGTTTCTATGGGGTTATGTTGACATGCCCAAGTTTATTGTATGACGTCTATGATTTATTTATTGCGACCACCACTTACCGCTAAAGCCATCTATAGGAAAACGGCGGAAGCAAAGTTGTACACCTAATAATATATAGATAAAATGCAAAATAAAGAAATATGTCAAATATATGCTTGCAGGAAAGTATCGCTCTCAGAGGAGAATCCAGGATTCCAGTATTACTATCGCGTGAGCGCCCCAAAATAACATCGCAAAATCGTGAAAAATCCCTCAATTTGGAATATATCAATTCTAATTCGCGAAAGCAAACGACAGACATGTTAGACAGTAATCGAAATCAAATAAATTTGCAACAGGAAAATGTCGGGTGAGCATCTTTGGTATCTTCTTAATAGAAGACACGAATTTATTTCAAATTAAATTAATATTACATATATTTTGCATTAATTGTATAGGTATGCAGCGATATATCAACGGCGAAAACGTTTTCAACAAGAAGAAAGTCAGACTTTAAATCAAACATTTGATTCACATACTAGCGGTTATCGGCCAGCCTCTTACAGGGCTTTAGGAACAAATAGAGAATATAGTGTAAATTAAATATTTCAAATTCTCATTATTCTCTCATTATTTTCTCATTAGTCTGTCATTATTCTGTTTCATTAGTCTCTCGTTTTCCATAGAAGAAAAATTATAATTTCGATATAGAAAGTAATTTTTAATTTTTTTTTCTTCATATACGATTTTTCTGCAAATATTAAATTAACTAAATAAAATAAAATATCTCATATATAATGTCAATTGTATTATAAATTAAATTATTAAATCTAAATATTGAATGTAATAATCGATTTTGCACAGACAAAAATGTAATTATGTTTTATTTGTTAATTTTGTAGGATACTGCAGGAAACAATGACATAATTTTTTCGGATGATAATTCGCATAGTTATAATAGATTCGTGGATACCGATAAATTTACGAACGAAAACGAAAGTTTGAATTACGCGGGAGGACGTCAACGTTCGCTATCCAGAAATATGCAGCAACAAACACTCGTCGAGGCGTGAGTTTTCAGGAGCAATCTCTTTTTTTGATTGAAAAAATATTTATTCATATAATTGATTTTTTTTACAGGTATAACTCGATTCTCGAGCGCCAAAGAAAGTTCATGGATAGAAATGTCTATCGGCCGTTACGAACTCCTCCAAATCCATCGACCCATTTATATCAGGACTCTCAGAATCTGGATACGCAAACTCCTTCGGATAGAGATAGGAACGCGAGACACCGAGTAAATAAATCGTCTTTTTTAATCTTTCGCTAAAATAAGTCGGAATTTTTAGACTTGAATCCTAATTCTGATCCAAACAGTACCTTGTCCAAAATCGCGACAATGTTTTTTACATTGATTGTGAGAAAAATTTCTGATTGAAAAAGACAAATCATTTTAGATATGTCTGGAGAGATTCAAGCCTTTTAATTTTCGATTTAGAACTCGATTTAAAATTTAGCGTCTTTAAATATCTCTAATAATAAATATTGATTTACATAAATCGTCATAGCCTAAGAACCGTAGAACGAAAGATATGGCAGCGACACAGCAGAGAACCGAGATGGACTTAATTTCATCAAATTCGCAGGAGAATAGACGCTCTCTTTCAGAAAGTTTTGCCAGTCCTCATCGCAGAAGATTACGATCATTATCCCCGTCACAACTCCATCAATCGCGACATTTTGTCAAATTCACTTCCAACAGATTTCACGCCGCGTCGATGTACGACATGTAAGTTCTTCGTTTTTCGTAGAGTAGAATTTTTGCAATAAAATTATATCGGCATGCAATCATAAGATAGCAAGAATTTTTCTCTCTTTTTATTCTCTGCTTTTTTAAAACGCTTTAGCAATCCCAGACAAAATCGATTCGGTCTTAAAATAACTTGCGAGCGAGATGTCGGTGTATCGTCACGCGAGATGATATGCGTAAATGTCGTCTACCAAACATTGATAAGAGCTTGAGTTTTAAATTCCAAAATAAATCTACACTGAAATCACATGATCAAAATTGATGCTTGATATTCGTCAATTTTGACCACGTGATCCTTTTTAAAGTCGTTAAAATATCAACACTCGGTGTGATATCGGTTTGTGAAAATGTATTATAAAATGAGACTTGCAAGAATTTGCAGTAAAGGAACAAAAATTATCGGAGACTCACCTCTAACAATATTTCACATGCTTGAAATAATAATATAAGCTGTAATAGCAATTGTAATATTATCGATCCGGCAAGGTACGCGACCTCATATTTCGCTTAATCTCAATTTTTCTACATGACACACATTATTTTTAAGACTTAACGTGTGTGGCAAGATCCAAATCGTCGATAGAGCGGTGAATTTTAGGTCGACAAAAATCGCCTTGCATGCCAGCGATTTTTGCAGCCGATATACTCTGATCGGCTCTAAATTTATATACACATATAAATGTGCAACTTTTCCGTTTCGTTGCCTCATCAAGATTGCAAGAATTGCGACTTAACATTTAACTCGCCTTTATAATTCGCAAAACATGCCACTATATCGCAAGTGGACTTTCTGACCGCTCGAATTAGTCGGTCGATAAAATTAAAAAAAAGAAAAAAATATGAAAAGACAAAGAAAAGCGCGCGTGCCACACGATAGAAAAATGCTTCAATCGTTTCGTCTTCCGTGCAAAAGTTATATAACTGAAAATTCGCAGTAGCTGGAAATGCAACGGATATAATGACGCGGGTGTTGTGTGCATGGTGTGTAACATGCGGGACTACTATTGTAGATTGTCGAAACGCCTTGTCGTACTATCGTCCATTCTTATCGTATATTCTTCCTCATTGAATATTTTACGTCTAAACCGGCACGCAGCCACTAATCCCTATTCAATATCGTTTATCCCGGAATATAACGTTATAATGACGGACATAAAAAAAAAGGATACTTTATGTATCCTTGAGTCGCAAAAAATTGGCTCAGTATTGAATTCTCATCATCTGAATTTGATTCGCGAAAAGTAAACGAATTTCTTTCTGAAAGCAAAAAAATTCTTCGAGTGTGTAACTTCTGATTCACTGCACTTGATTTCTTCGAAACATCGCATCGATTTTTCGCAAGAGAAATTGCATGACTGAACCGATGAGATGCTCGGGAATTTCACTTTAGCATGTCGGTAATTCGAATAAATTTCTAAATTAAAATTAATTATGATAATAATTTAATTATGATAATTATGAATGATAATAGCCTCGTTTTTTAAGTACAATTTTAATATCGTGATATCCTCGAGGCTATAAGAAACTTGAAGACTCCAAAACCCGTGGAGGAAAAACGATAAATGCGCTTGGCATCTTTCAACCTCTTTTAACCGCGTTTCATTCGGATCGCATGACTCTGCCAACCCTTCTTTCGTGACCACGTGAGGGGAGAAGGGTGAATTATGGTCAGCCTGGTTTATGGTCTCATAAGGGAGCCTTGAAAGAATGATATCTAAGTCTTCGTATTATAGAAAATGTCCACGAGACAAGAACATTCAAAAGAAGATTTATTATATATTTTTCATGTATTCAAATTGAGTTTTCAATTTCACATTTTTATTATATGATTGCAAAATTTATGTTTTAAATTCCTCGTTTCCTTTCTAATCTCTAAATTCTTTGGAGTGGAATCTCTAAAGAGCCAGAAAATTGAGCCAGTCTTAAAAAAGAGTGATTCAATTTTCAATTTTTAAAAGTGAGATTTCACTCTTCAATATAACAATTTATCCTAAAAATTTTACAGAGAGTGTTATCACTTGTTTTCATTCGTGTTTCTGTTTCATTTTTTGCATGTTTTTAAAGATTGGAATCGCACCTCGGTTTCTTAAACTTCGCATATTATTCTCGCCCTCTTCTCTACGGTTAAAAAGAAGTAAAGTGCGGAGATCGGGGAGGCGAACGGACATGGGGCGGGGACGATGTGGGGATGGCGGTGGCAGCGGTCAGCGTCGGGACGCTTACCGTCTCTGCTACAGTCGTGCCACAGTCGTGCGTACGTCGTCGATTGTTACAAGCGCGTATTCTTCGCAATTATAAAGTATGTCTCCTTGTCGTCAAACATGGTCCGTGTTCGCTATTTCCTGTCGCTCTTCATAAAAGGTCCATCGCGAGAAAATAATTGACCGACAAATTAATTGAGCCCGTTTGACATTACGCGCAAGTGTCATCAACCTCTGTCATTTAATCGAATGACAGCGAGTGCGAGAACGTGAACACGTGGATTTCTCAAAACTGCTCGCGTTACGCAAGGCTCGCCCTTAAAAAGTTGCTACTTGCAGATGGCAGAACGATGAGCATCGTAATCTCGATCGAATCGCTGTTAGTTCGACATACCGTACATGACAGTCATAGGATAATTGCGGATTCGACCGATTCGCGAGAATATGTGATGCGATTTAACACAACTCTCGAGTTGCAATGTATCGTAACATTGCGCGAATAGTATGTTAAAAAAAAAATAAAATAATATATTCTTATACACGAGAACTTACGAGAAAGTTACCCTTTAAATTTATTCTTATTTTAAGACCTTGTTCGTAAACCTTAAAGATTCTAATGCAGTTCTCTGATCGGTTCATAATGTCTTAAAACTATTAAGACAATCTTAAATATTATATAAAAATCTATGAAAACTAATGACCTAAAACTTTTAGAGTGAATCTCACTCTATGAATCTCTCTCTAAGAGTGCAACCCCGCTCTTAAAAAAATTAAGTTCTTTTACGACTGGCTCAGTTTTTACTTTTTAGAGATTTTTAAGATTTTATTTCAAAGAATTTAGAAAATAATAATACTCGAGAATGGAAACGTCCAATGCAGGAGTGAGTGAAAAATGGAATGAAAAAAAGTAGACAAAAAGAGGATTCGTAAACAAGACATACGAGTGAATGTTTTTGGAATACAAGTTTCTTGAACACTTGATCGATAATTAATTTGCAGCTCGATCTTTCACGTTTCGCAGTTCAGATATTCCAACATATCGCACATATCGTAACACGCAGAGCGTTTTGAGTAGAGCGTTCGCCGATGTTTGAAATTGTCATTAGTATCGATTGATTCTTCAGAGCTCGCACACTTATTTCTTCTAACGATTGCGAAAGATCGAAACTTGGCAACATTTAACCTTTTCTACCATATTATTATACTATACACTATTAATTACTTCCTGAATAATATAAGATATTAAAAAAATTAAATAAAGAAACAAAAAGATTCATATATTGAAAGATAAGATTAGAAACGCTAATAGATATCGTAAAAAGGTCAGTTGAACAATAAAATTTTAATGCTCGGAAAGAACAATTTTTACTGAAATATACGCAAAAAATATTTTGATGCTTCAGCTAGAATTATTACTTATTATTTTTTGTGTCTAA